CAACCCTGAGATCATGACCTGAGCCCAAATCAGGAGTTGGATGCTCAACCAACTGAGCCACCCAGACACCCCTGGAAATAAAATTTTTAAAAAGGAGAGGCAGCATTAGAGACAGTGATGGGGGAAAAAAAAAAAAGACTAAAAGATTTTAAACTTTATTCAGTAATTGTATCATTTGTGTGGCTACTGAATTGTTTGAGAACTATACTTGAAATGTCAGAAAAAAATAAACCATTATATTTATTTAGTTTGAAATGAAGGGGGTGCCTAGCTGGCTCAGTCAGTAGAGCATGTGACTCTTGATCTCAGGGTCCTGAGGCTGAGCCCCATGTTGGGGGTGGAGTTTACTTAAAAAAAAATTTTTTTTTAATGAAGATTTACCCATAGAAGATAAAGGAGTATAGTTGTAGAATTAAGAATTTAAGTAAAACTGGATTGGCAGTAGCAATATTAACTCATTTCTTCACAATAAAATACCTATCTTTTTTTATTTCTGTCCAAGAGCAATTGCCCAGAAATAATGTGAACCCCAATATGCATATATTTCTCCCCCACCCTGACTATGTGTCATCAGTGTTCCTTGGAGAAATAGGTAATTCTATATTCAGAAAAAATGTAAGGTGAGCCTGGCAGTTTTGTTGTGCCAAAAGGCTCTCAAATTTGATGAGGTTTTATTGAAATGACACAGGGACCAATCTAAAATGAGCTCATGTTGGGATGCCTGGGTGGCTCAGTCAGTTAAGGGTCTGCCTTCAGCTCAGGTCATGATCCCAGGGTCCTGGGATCGAGTCCGACATCGGGCTCCTTGTTCATCGGGGAGCCTGCTTCTCGCTCTGCCTGCCGCTCCCCCTGCTTGTGCTCTCTCTCTGAGAAATAAAATCTTTTTTAAAATTAAAAGAAAATTTAAAAAATGAGCTCACGTTTGCCAGAGTTGTGACAATTTGAGCATCAAAGAGAATATTGGCTGAGGTTGATTGTCATATATTTAGTCTAAAAAGCCAGAGTCTACAATGATTAACAATGTATTCTAAAAGAATGGCCATTGGAAGCTCTTTCAGAATGCGAAGTAATTCTATTGAATTTTGTTATTCAAACACATTGGTATTATGGACTACTTTACAATATTGATGAGGAAAGAAATTAATAATATAAATACATCAATGAGGAAGTATTTTCTGACTCAAAGGAAATAGCAGTAAAAAGACTCTAAGTTTTGATCTTGAGTTAGACAAAGCCAGGTAAAATACCCACATACAAATTTAAGTCTCCTTGAGAACTTTATGGTTTTCCTAACATGAAAGAATGGAAGATCCCATAGGTCCCAAAGTCATTAAAATTACATTTCTTAGGATCCTGTCAAATCAAAGAATTAGCAGGAGAAAGAAGTGTACCTAGCATAAAGTTTATCCCCTCAGGTGGGAACTGCAGAATTCTATCAGCAGAAAAAAGAATTTGAACACATATATGGCTTGAAATGAGGGAAGTGAGCTAAAATATCATTCCCCTTAATTTCAACAAGGACAATTTCAGTGGAGATAGGGTTGCCAGATTAAATGCAGGATGACCTGTTAAATTTCAATTTCAGGTGAACAACGAATAATTTTTAATAAAATGTCTCATGCAATATCTGGGGCATGGTTTGTATATATTTGAGGATATACTGGAGGTAAACGAACAAGTCCATAAATATTTACTTATTTATCAGTCATTGCAGAGTTGTTATTATCAGGCAGTGTTCTAGATTCTGGAGGATTACATTGCTAAATAAGACAGTCAGTGTCCCTGCTCTCAGAGACTCTAGTAGGGGCTGGAGGAGAGAGAATACTGACAATGAGAAGTAGACAGATACACAAAATAATTCCAGCCACTAATACTGGAATTTTTTAAAAAGGCTAAATATTTCCTTTTTTTAAGATTTATTTTTATTTATTTTGGAGAGAAAGAGTGGGGGGGGGTGCAGAGAGAGAAAGAGGAGAGAGAATCCCACCAGACTCCCCACTGAGCACGGAGCCTGACATGGGGCTCAATCTCATGACCCTGAGATCATGACTGAGCCAAAACCAAGAGTCGACGCTCAACCGACTGAGCCACCCAGACACACGTAATTTTGGAGTATTTTTTAAAAGGTTAGAAAATCGTATTTTCAAGTGTTTTCTGGGTGCAGATTTGAGAGGCTTTTCTCAATAAGTGGGCATTACTTATTACTAAAGTATTAAATCTATTGCTATTTTTGCTTTTGCTTTTTAAAATTTCCTTCCTTTAAAAAAAAAATTTTTTTTAAGTAAGGTTTATGCCCAATGTGGGGCTTACATCTAAGACCCTGAGATCAAGAGTTGCATCCTCTAGCGACTGAACCAGCCAGGCACCCCTCTACTTTTGCTTTTATAAAAGACGTAAATGTTGAAAATTCCTGCTCACGTAAGTTGAGAAGATGAGTGGTAGAAGGAATATAGTTATAGCAATGTTGATTTTACATACCAAAATCACACTGTGATCTATCAACAGAAATGGTTTTGTCCTCCTTTGCTTTTACTGGTGGAGGGAAGTACTGGGAAATCACTGGAATCACAAAGGATTTGTCCACCTAATCCTTATTGGCAGCGATATTTCAAATGAGTCCTTTTGTTTGGTACCCCAAAAGTTTTGATGCCCCAGGGCAATACATAGCAGTATTGGGCGTGAGAAACCTATCTTCCATCAGGAGGGAAGATGGCCGTGAAGGAGGGCACCCTGGCCAAGGGAGCAATCTTAAAGGTGTACAGATAGAAAATATAAGACTCTGGCAACTGATTCTCTCAAAACTAGCTGCCTACACAGACGCTCTGAGAATATTTGTGTTCTCCATCCCGCATTCCTACCTGCCACGTTGCTCATATCCTTGTCTGAAGACTGCTGTGAAGACCCCAGTGAGGCTACCAGCGCCCTCCTTTCTATTGACTTTTGGTAAGGCTTACTTTTTTACTCTTATTTTCTTCCTTTCTTTTAGATAAAAGCTTTACAGAAGTTCCAACACTTCCTTTCCCACCTTGGTGGATTGCCTTGAGCATCCCCTAGGTGACTCATGACACTCCGGAGACCATGGACTCAGAAGAATAATCATTAAGAGCACAGCTTTTGAGAACTTGCTGGGAATTAGCCAGCTGGCTTGGTTCTGGGGCAAACACTAACCATAAGCTACAAATTGACTTCTCAGCCCCAGAGTAATAAAGTTGATAGCATTGAAGGTGCTGGGTGTCTAAGAGCTGTTCCCTTCGGATGGTCATTAGGGAACCTTTTACAGAACAAACAATCCCACTTTGAGGAGACCATTTCCACCCTGCCCTGCTCTCCTTGCCCCTGCCTCCTTCCTCATCTCTGTCCTTCTTATCCTAAAGTAGGAGTGGAAGAAAAAGGAATGGAGGAGAGATTTAAAAAAAAAGCCCAGGGACTTGTGTGTGTGTGTGTGTGTGTGTGTGTTGTTTTGGTGGGGATGAGGGTGGGTATTGAGTTTACTGAGCGACTTGATTATGCCAAGTACTTGCTCAAATTCTCATTATGGTCTGGAAGGACTGGAGATGGGTCAGGCACCCACCCATCTCAGGCCACCCTCAAGGTGTTATTAGTGACTTCTGTTCTGCCTCCAGGCCTTAGTCCTGACTATTTCCTCTGCCCTAGCATCCCCTTCTCTTCCAGGGCCTGCAACACTTCTGCAAATTCTCCTTTCCTAGCACTTTTCATATTTTACTGGAATTGGGTCATTTAAATTGCTGTCCTTAGCCTGCCGTCACTGGAAAGTGAAGTGTTGCGTTCTCAGAGCTGACTGTGGGCGCCATAAAAATGGGATGCAGTGGAAACTGGGATCAAATGGGAGGCAGGGCTGGAAGGGGAGCCAGGAGGGCCCCCTCGTTACTCAGGATATCACAAGATTTCATTCTGTATGTGACCTGGAAGGATTTGATTCCTACATTTACAGGGTTCCTCCTGTGAGGGCATAAAGTGAGTGAACCACGGAAACCTTCCCCTCCTCTCCTCAAGGATCTCACACAGACAGCTCCTGGGGGGCCTCGCCCGCCAGTCTTCTTGTCTTCTTCGGATACACCGGATAGATTTTAGTAACTTCCCCGACTTTCCTCTCTCATCGCTTGTACAGGTTTTGTCCTCACGGGGACTCTCTGATGGGCAGGAATGTTCTCTTCGGATTTTAATTTAAAGGAGGCATTTTGGGGCGCCTGGGTGGCTCAGTCGGTTAAGCGTCTGCCTTTAGCTCAGGTCATGATCCCAGGGTCCTGGGATCAAGTCCCACGTTGGGCTCCCTCCTCATCGGGATCTGCTTCTCCCTCTGCCTCTGCCCCTGCTTGTGCTCTCTCTCTCTGACAAACAAATAAAATCTTAAAAAAAATAAAAATTAAAAAATAATCGTAAAAGAAAAACGCTTCATAACTTTTTAAAAATACCTAATGAACTCTAAAAATGGTCTGCTTCAACTAAGTTTTGAAGTTAACAGCTAACATATTTCTCTTTACTACCACTCCACAATAGAATAGCATTCGTCAAAGCTGCTTTCCCCCCACTCCCCCATATTTTTCAATTTAAATGTTTTATTCTATTTTATTTTATTATTTTTTAGAGATTTTATTTTTTAAAGATTTAGTTATTTATTTTAGAGAGAGCACACACACAGGGGGAGGGGCAGAGGGAGAGGGATCACTTCTGTTGTATTTTAACAGGATCACTCTGGCTGCTTGTTGGCAATAGACCAAGGGCCAAAAGAGGAAGCACTTAGGCTCTTGCAGTACACTGGTCAAGAGGTGATGGGCTGGGATGGCAGTGTTGGAGGTAGTGAGAATTGGTTGAACAGTGGGTCTTTTGGATGTAGAGCTCACAGGATTTGCTTATGAATTATATGTAGAATGTGAAGGAGGAGTCTGAGATAACCAGGTTTTTTGGTCCAAGAAAACAGAATGATGGAGTTGCCATTGACTGAGATGAATAGCCGGGGGCGGTGGGGGGGGGATAATGGGGACTGCAGTTTTGGACATCTTGAACTTGAGGTGCCATTGGTCATGCTGGTGGCGACGTCAAGTAGTAGTTGGTTGTATGAGTCTAGAGTTCAGAAGAGAGGTCCAGGCTGGAGGTAAATTGGCGGTTGGGAGTATATAGATGGTGATTCAAGCCGTGTGACCAGATGAAATCTCCAAGGAGAATGAATGCAGCAAGAACAAAGGGGTCCAAGTGCCAGGCCCTCCACTCATTTGTGGTCTTGGCAAAGACATGAATTTGAATGTGGGCAGCTTCTAAGGGAAGCTTTTACTTAAGATTTTTTTGTTTGTTTTAGAGTAATCTCTGCATCCAGCATGGGGCTCAAACTTACAACCCCGAGATCAAGAGTCAGACACTCTACCAGCTGAGGCGGCCACGAGACCCAGCTTTTGATTGTCACCGCGTACGTGTTTTGCCGAGGCAGTTATGTGATCTGTGGGTTTGGATATGCCCTTCTGGGAGCAGATCCGCATGAATGATAGGTCACTCTCTGTTTAATGCCACCTGTGTTACATAACTCCTCGTGTCTTGCTGAGTCTCCCAGGCTTGATCCCAGAAGCTGAGCAGCCCAAACAGATTCCAGTGTCTTTCCTGTTGTAGGGATGCCCTTCTCTGGGTGGAGTGTGAAATTTTGTAACCAGTTACAAACAAGTATTTCAGCACTGCGGAGACCTACTTCAAAGCATTTCAAATGAATGCTCCCGGCACTACTACATCTGTTATTTTAAGGTTATTTTAGCCTTGAGTGCTAATGCCTTTATTTTAGGAAACGAGATGGTGTGCTCCTGTCCCAGCTCAGTGTCAAGTTATCCTGAACTTGGGCACTCCGGCAGTATATTGGGTGTGCAGGGCAGCATGAGGGAGTGGGTGGTGCTGATTCTGGTCCACCCTGTCAGGACACCTGTTGACATCTCATAGGATGCTTCTGATTGGGGGTACAGGGGCGCGTGGGTGGCTCAGTCGTTAAGCGTCTGCCTTCGGCTCAGGTCATGATCCCGGGGTCCTGGGATCAGGCCCCACATTGGGCTCTCTGCTCAGCGGGAAGCCTGCTTCTCCCTCTCCCACTCCCCCTGCTTGTGTTCCTGTTCTCGCTGTGTCTCTCTCCGTCAAATAAATAAGTAAAATCTTTAAAAAAGAAAAAAGAAAAGAAAATTTGGGAAATGAAAAAAAGAATTTAAAAAACTGAAGTCATCTACAACCCAGCAAGATCACTGTTCGTGTTTTATCCTTTTTCCTTTGCTGTGATTATGGGGCCATATGTGAGACTTGATATTCAGGTTATACAAGCCAGATCCATGGAAAACGACGTGCGTGTGAGCCAGGAGTATACTCGAGTTTTTATTTTCATTTTTATTTTTTTCATACTCAAGTTTTTAAATGCCTTAGATTTAGATTATTTGTGACTCCTAGTTCCTCATCTTCTGTAAGTCATTTGTGCCTCCTTTTTATGGTCTCTACCCTTGTTATCAGCATAGTTTCACATAACAAAAACCCACGTAGGTTTTTATCTGTTTGGCTCTTTGTTGAGACTTTGCTGGAGTTTTCCTGCTCTCAATTATCCACGCCCAGAGTGGGACATCTATGTGACACATGGCAAGTGCTGCTTAACAGTTGGAAACATGCTCAGGAAAGCCAGTCACAAGCATGGAAGGCTAATTTATGCAGGTGTCTTTCAGAATATGTTTAATGAATGCTGATAATTGTAGTCTGATTCTGATGTCTCTTTTTTTTTTTTTTTTTAAGATTTTATTTATTTATTTGAGAGAGAGAATGAGATAGAGCATGAGAGGGGGCAGGGTCAGAGGGATAAGCAGACTCCCTGCTGAACAGGGAGCCCGACGCGGGACTCGATCCCGGGACTCCAGGATCATGACCTGAGCCGAAGGCAGTCGCTCAACCAACTGAGCCACCCAGGCGCCCTCTGATGTCTCTTTACTCATTTATTTTCCATCTCTCCCACAAACTTGAAAGCTCCGTGGGGGTGGGAGTGCGTCTGGCTTGCTCATCACTGCACTCCCAGCTCCAAGCCCATGGCGTTCAAGTAAATGTTGAGTAGATGGACTTCACTTTTGGCAAATGAGGAAAATAGAAGTAATTATATTTATTACAGATGTTTTGGGTGTTCTAGTGTATGAACTGACCGATACGTTTATAATATTTGATATTTAAAAGAAAAATACTTTTAAGCACTTTGCATTTGTATCATCTCTGGTTTAATTTTTTTCCCCTCAGTTCCTTCTCAGCAATATATATCTCATCGAAATAAATACCTCTGTAAGAATATAGGTTACTGTTAGTTTAATCTCTGTCATTCCACTTGTCTTTCCGTGAAACCTAAAGGTAAAGGACATTTAAAAACTTGCATATGCCCTACTTAAAAGTGGGTCAAGTGAAGCTCAGAATTATATCATTGGGGCACCTGGGTGGCTCAGTCAGTTAAGCGTCCGACTCTTGGTTTCAGCTCAGTGTTTGATCTCAGGGTCATGGGATCGGCCTGCGTGGGGCTCTGAGCTCAGTGCAGAGTCTGCTTGTCTCCCCCCAACCCCCCACATCCTTGCAGTCTCTCAAATAAATAAATGGGATCTTTGAAAAACAGATTTTTTAAATTACATCATTAATTATACTCTAAATTATTATTATTTTAAAATACTCTAGTTAATTCCAACCCTCTAACATGATTCCTGGTTATGCTGACTAGCTCCATCGTTTGACTAGCAATTTATTTATTTATTTATTTGTTTATTTATTTAGTGAAGTAGGGAGTTTGATGTGGGGCTTGAACTCACAACCCTAAGATCAAGAGTCGCATGCTCTACTAACTGAGCCAGTCATGCATCCTTGGCTAGCAAATTTTTAATATTGAAGCTCAAAGTCTTAGATTTGGAAGGCTGCATTTGGCCTGTAGATATCCTGTTGAAATCTTGGAGTTGTAAGATTCTGAAACAGTTTTTGGAGCAAAGTTAATTTAAATTTAATTTTAAAAGTATGCCATTGTGCCCTTTTTTTTTGAGTGGAGACAATGCAAGATTAGGATATCCTGAACTGACTCCCGAATGATTTTGAACAGTAATTTTTGTATGATAGTTTTATGGTAGCTGTAATTTCCACAATTTCTTGTGCTAAAGGTGTGGCTGTCAAGACCTAAAAAGCATCCTTTTTTTCTTTTTGTAATTTATGGTAACCATATTTTCTCAGGTTTAACGCGGAGCCCTAAAGAACCAGAAACCCAGGGGAACCGATATTTCTTGCTCCACAGAGTCCCATCTCTAGTGAGACTGTTTCTGGAATCTGTGTGATGACCAAGGTTTTGGGCATGGCTGCAGTTCGGGGCCCTCGGCCTCCACGGGAGAGGGGACCTGTGGTGGTTAAAGATGAGGATGAAGAGGAAGGGCAGAGCCTTCCTAGCCTGGAGGTGTTCCGCCAGCGCTTCCGGCAGTTTGGCTACCATGACACGCCTGGCCCCCGGGAGGCCCTGAGCCAGCTCCGGGTGCTCTGCTGCGAGTGGCTGAGGCCCGAGATCCACACCAAGGAGCAGATCCTGGAGCTGCTGGTGCTGGAGCAGTTCCTGACCATCCTGCCCCAGGAGCTCCAGGCTTGGGTGCAGGAGCACTGCCCGGAGAGCGCCGAAGAGGCCGTCACTCTCCTAGAAGACCTGGAGCAGGAACTGGACGAGCCAGGACAACAGGTGGGCTGGGGAGAACTTACATGCTGTGAGGCTGGGAATAGAGCACTCTGGGCAGGACTGGGTTTATCCATCCAATGGGAGGGGCTGAATGGAAGCTTTTGCTGACTTAGATCATGTTTCCTCCTGTTCTTCTTCTGTCCAGTATTGATCTTTAGCCGTGGGAATGGAATGAGATGGATGTGTTTCTTTTCTTTTTCCTAGCAGTTGTACCTTAGCTCTCCTGAGGCTTTCTTTCGTTCTGCAGTTGAAAAGTCTGAACAACCCAGGGGTTAGGGTTGTCACCCCCCTCCCCTCAGCGCACGTGCATTTGAAAATCCCAATATAACTTTTGATTCCCCAAAGCTTAACTTCTAAATAAATAGCCTAATGTTGACCGGAAGCTTTACCAATAACAGTCAGTCAACACTTACTTTGTATGTTATGTGTGTTATACCATGTTCTTATAATAAAGTAAGCTACAGAAAGGAAAACATTAAGAAAACCATAAGGAAGAGAAAATACATTTACTGTACTGGATGTATCAAAAAATTATATATGTGTATAAGTGGACCTGCATAGTTCAGACCCGTGTTCAGGGGTCACCTGTAGTTCTGAGGTGAGCTGTGCACAAACCCCGCCATTCGTGGTTGTCTCTAGGTCTCACCTCCTCCAAATGAACAGCAACAGGTTTGGGAGAAGAGGTCCTCTTCAGGAACAGCAAAGTTTCCAGGCAACACGCAGCCACAGTCTGTGGAGACCAGTCACAAATGCGAAGGTTGGGAGCCCTTATACATCCAGGAGACTGGGGAAGAGCAGGATTTCACTCCAGAGCTGAGAAAGAGTCAAGGTAGGGACTGTCGTGCTGCGTGCTTGGTGCCCCAGGCCTTTGTGGTGGAAGAAACAGAATAATTCTCATTACTGGTTGTGAGGCAATCCCCCTAGACTGACTTGCCTGGTCTGGCTGCCTGGGCAGGATGATGAGTACCTGAGTGCCTTTCCTCCCAAGTGCGTGCATCTCAGCTAGAGTCCTAGCTTGGGGGGTGGGGGGGAACATGACACACTCTTAAAAGGGTTGGTCGAAGTAAGTTTAAAAAAGGGACTGTTCACAGAGGTGTGACAGGTTGAAGGAACCAGTGAGAGATGAGGCTTGTTCATTTGTTAATGACTGAGCGAAGAACCTGTTAAAATCAGCATTGGATTATGCAGAAATGGTCCCAGGTAAAATCTTTTCAGCTTCTGCCTCATAAGGTTATTTAAAATGTTTTGCTTATTTATTGAGTTATTTATTTCCCACACAGAGTACACGGCAACTTGAAGGAAAGTCTATATATGTAGCCAAGTGATTGCTCATCACCGAGAGTGGAGGGGACTTTTATCTGCCGCGGCTGTGGTCCCAGGGGGCAGGGGGTGAGAGTGCACGCGGCTGGACGGTTGCTGCTGGCGACCGGAGGAAAGAGATGGTCGAGTGGAGAGAGGACGCCAGGGGCCAGGGAAGGGGCTGAGAGGAAGGTACCTCGTTGGCAGAGGCTTCTGTACTCCTCGGGGGCCGACAGGTGTCAGGGAGCCCCTGGTTCAGTGTGGATTTCTCTTACTCCCCTTTTCCGTGTATGTGGACGGGTTAGACGGACTTGTAAGTGTGGCTGCCTAGTGCAGTGCTCTAAAAAAGATAGATGGCTTCAGTCTGGTTTAGCAGTATTAACTTTAGAACTAAAAGATGGTGAGACAGCCACTGTAGGGTATGTGCTGGGAATCAAACCCTCCTGGGAGGTGGGCACTTTGATTTAAACTAATAATGAGCTGGGACTAGCCTGGTCATACGTGGACTGAATGTCCTCTTTTGTTGCCTTTTTTTTTGTTTGGTTTGGTTTGATTTTTTTTTTTTAATTTTATTATGTTAATCACCATACATTACATCATTAGTTTTTGATGTAGTGTTCCATGTCTTTTGTTGCTTTTATATTCCACTTCTGTGAGAATGTGGATTTCATGAGTTTGCCACTAACCTCCTCTCCCTTAATTACCCTTTTTATTTTCCTTAATCAACTTTGACCATTCGGTAATATTTCTTACTCGTTTCTTTCTGCCTGAGCATCCCCTAGCTCCTTTGTTTCTGTCCCAGTAAGCTTGGTTTTGCTTCCGTGCCCTCTTTATATGAAGTTCTTCTTCTGGCAAAGAAGGCTATGTCCTCTTGATATCGTCATAGCTGCTGCTGGGGGCTGGTGTGAAAGCCTTGTGCTGTAAACTAGATCTGGTGGTGACTTATTTGTGTCATTGTCCTGTTGTGACCTCTCACTGAGCGATACTTGGTCACCATCCATGTCAGCTGACGTTTCTATTTCTCCTTCAACAGTTTCTTCTCAGAACACAAAACAACTGACCTGTTCTTATTCTACTTCTTGTTTCAGACTGTAACTCGAACACCCAGAATGAGGAATCAACAGACAAGCAGAAAAGTTCTGAAGAATCTCAAGAACTCAAAAGGGATGTTATTCCCATGATTATTGCCAGTAAATGTGAGGCCAGGTTAGAAAGGCAGTGGGTAAACCCTGAAAAGGAAAGAGGAACAAAAACTCCTCTCCTAGACAAAGGTTCCAAGAAAGGCAGAGAATTGATTCCCGCTAAACCTGCCCCAGGAGAGAGGCGGTACATATGTGCCGAGTGTGGAAAAGCCTTTAGTAATAGCTCAAATCTCACCAAACACCGGCGAACACACACTGGGGAGAAACCGTATGTATGCACCAAATGTGGGAAAGCTTTCAGCCACAGTTCAAACCTCACCCTTCATTACAGAACACACTTGGTGGATCGGCCCTATGACTGTAAGTGTGGGAAAGCCTTTGGTCAGAGCTCAGACCTCCTTAAACATCAGCGAATGCATACCGAAGAGGCGCCGTATCAGTGTAAAGATTGTGGAAAAGCTTTCAGTGGTAAAGGCAGCCTCATCCGACACTATCGGATACACACTGGGGAGAAACCTTACCAGTGTAACGAGTGTGGGAAGAGCTTTAGTCAGCACGCAGGTCTTAGTTCTCACCAGAGGCTCCACACTGGAGAGAAGCCATATAAATGTAAGGAGTGTGGGAAAGCCTTCAACCACAGCTCAAATTTTAATAAACACCATAGAATCCATACCGGGGAGAAGCCCTACTGGTGTAATCACTGTGGAAAAACCTTCTGTAGTAAGTCAAATCTTTCCAAACATCAGAGAGTCCACCCTGGAGAGGGAGGAGTGCTTTAACCGTCAAGTAATGCTCTCTGGGTGGGTTTTGTTTTTATTAAACTTTAGCCCATGGCTGCTAGGGAGAAGCCCAGTAATTGCGATATAAACTCTAGTCGTAGACTTTGTTTCACTCATAACACATCAAGGGGTGCCTGGGGCGTGGGTGCTCCGTGGTGCCATGGCACGGAGGGGCTGGAGGGCGGTGGAGCATTCCTCACTGGCCAGCCCTCCAGGGCGCAGTCCCCTCGCCTCGCCTTGGGTCCCAAGCCGGCCGGCACTGCCTTTTGTATAGTTAAACTGAGTATATCCAGTATAATTAAGGAAGGAACACTGAAACTGTTTAACTGTTTTAACATTATTCGAGAAGTATAAGATTTGTAAAGAATTGAGCCACATTGAACACAATTTAATCTGATTCGGAATAAACTTACAACATCTTGTAATGGTGCCTCAGGACTGTTAAATGGTATGTTGGTGGGTGCCTGGGTGGCTCAGTTGGTTAAGCGACTGCCTTCGGCTCAGGTCATGATCCTGGAGTCCCGGGATCGAGTCCCACGTCGGGCTCCCTGCTCAGCGGGGAGTCTACTTCTCCCTCTGACCCTCCCCCCTCTCATGCTCTCTCTCTATCTCATTCTCTCTCTCAAATAAATAAATAAAATCTTTAA